GATTTGTATGAACATGCCCGACTTTAGTTCACTCATTCAGCCAGCATCTACATATAAATGAAAGTTGAGGAAAATAGTGGCCATTTCTCTCTTCGTTCAGGAAAGACTGGCTCTGATATCAGTCATCATCGAGCATAACATTTATTCAGGCAAAGGTGTGAAAGCCGTGGGCTTGAGTTTCTTTACTTGAGTGGTTTTACCCTTTCTAGCAGATGTTGAACCTGCTGCAGGGATTTGAATTTCCCCTTCGGCTACAAGAGCAGATGATGAGGTCTTCAGTCAGTGTTCGAGTTCATCCCGCAGGTTTTTAATGGGACCTGGTGTTTAAGTTCTTCCACATCAAAGTGAGAACATTTTGTGCGCAGCTGGTTTTGTGTTCATAAAATAGCTCATGCGTCAGTTCAATAAGGAAGATCTGGATCCCTCATCTTCCTGTTTGCTCAGGTGTTCAGCTGCCAGTCGGTTCTTTACATCACTACCACTTTCCCACACTGTCAAACTCAAAGCTGTCATCATTTCATTAATCCAGTCGTTTTCTTTCCTGCCTTCTTTTAGCCAGTCAGCCTCCAGTTTGTATCCTTTATTCTTCCCCTCGTAAAGACGAGGCCTGGCGACGTCCATGGTACCCTTAAGGACGAGTTTTGAAACTTCAGTATACATAAATAAGGATCTGGTTTGAGGACTATTAAAATAGTTTCCAAGGGTAGAGACCTACACCCGATACTGCAGGTGCCCAGCCCTAAATCCTGTCACCACTGGGATTGCATTCTGCCACAATGGATCATTGGAGTCTAATTGCATTCATTGATTTCTCTGTCTCAATAAATTATGTTCAGTTCTTCCCGATGAACTAACAATTGCTAGTTTGCTGAAACCATTAAGGAAACGAGGAGATTGATGATGCTACTGAAGGGTTCCCTCTAAACATCAAAAATAGGATTGGTTGCCTGTAAGATCACTAATAACCCAAACAGTTACCACCATGGACTTCTTAAGGTGGAACAATTCACCCTTTTATAATGCGAACTGTGCTTCTCAAACATAACAACAATACAGCTGCTGCTGAGAGATGGAAAAGCACTCTGGGAAGTTTATTTCTCACTTCCAGTTTGGATAAAAAAGAAGGTAGAGTGTCGGAGAGCGTTATTCACATACAGTAATGAGTGATTTAGCCGGCTGTAATCAGTGACCATAGAGAGATGGATGTCTGCTAAATGGCTAAAACAGTATTAAATTATGGTGTCATAGCACAGACGTCTTTCATAGACTAACTCATTCGTTTGGACGAGATAACCCAGTGTCTCTGAAAACTGCTAAACTACACACACGTTAATCTAGGCAGATTAAATTTATTGCACATCTAATAATATTGGAGATAATGCTTTAACATAAGAACTCCTTTGCTTTGCAAGCAAGTAACGCTAAGTTATCCGCTAATCCTAGCTTGTTTGGGCTGCATTCATAAAGTTGAATGAGAGGAACGCAGAGATGCAGATACCTGCTAATAAATAATCAACTGGAGCACACATTTCTTGAACAGTCTATCCTTTGATGGCTGTTTTAAGCAACAATACTATTGAATATTCACTGGGAAGTATTAGACTGTACTTAAACTATCCTCAAACACATCTGCAGCACATCTGTCTCCAGTGGATCTCATTTTCGTTTTTCTTTTGAACTTTTTGACAGCTGTCATCTTTTGATTTGCACATTTTTCCATTTTTTGGAGGGACGTGTCAACTCAAAGACAGATGAGGTTTACTGATCTGATGCCTGGTTGTTAATAATGAGTTCTTCTTCCATTACTGCCACCTTCTAGCTGTAGGAGCAACTTACATCCCCCATGTACTGAAAAACCAAAGAAAAATACACATATTCAAGAGAAAACATAGTTGGTTAAACTTCAGTATTTTCTAACTAACTAAACATTTGAAAATCATGGTTCTCCCCATCTGTATCTCAAGTTATTTTTCAGATAAACAAATAATCAATAACTTGCACACGTGTTTTTTTCAGCAGGTATTTAACCTATCTATGTATTGTACAGATTGAATGCTCCATCCTGCACGGTCGCCTTAACAGTCTCCTGCAGGGCGTAAGAGGTGTTGTCCCAAATGGACATTATCTTGGCCAACAGATTTCTGGAACACTCTGTAAGCATGTTTACTCGGGAGTTTATGAGTATTGACTTGCTTTTGGACTTAATTTTTGACTCTTCACATTTTCGTATTTCATTTTAATTTTCCAGTTCGGTGTCTTTAAGCTTTACCACCATGTTGGTTTCGTCTTTTTCATAGAGATTATTAGCAAAACCAAATCAGATCAAACATCAGTGCAGAAAGGTGGCAGAAATTTGCCCAAATACTTTTGAAGGGTCACACGGGGTCGTACTATGCAACGTATCAATTCATGGGCTCTGACTGAAGGTGGCGGATCAGTGCATAGACACTCTCAGTGTCTGCATCTTCAGGAATCAGAGTAATGCTGACCTGAGCACTGGCTTCCTTCCAGATCAAGTAAAAATGGCAGCTTGTTAATCCAGTGTCTGTGCATTGCTTTAATCCCGGTCCTGGGTACACGCCAGCAAACTCTGCGAGTGAGCCTGTGGGGCTGGTTTTAGGAGCTGCCTGGCCCTGCGTCATTAGTATGTGTGAAGTCACTGTAAACATTTGATTAATTGCTGAGAAGCAATTACAAGCAATTAAAGTCCTATTATGATGGCAGTGAAGGACAACGCAAGTTAATCTGGCTATCATCACGATAATTAGCTCATCATTTCCTCACCAGGCCTAATGTACAGAAAAGAATCAATAAAAAGGGCAATTTTTGGTTTTCTTGCTTAAGCTTTGCTACAATGTGTGGTCATTTTAAGCAAAGCGGCCTTTGTGTTTTGGGGCATATCGTTCTCGCTGTGTAAAAACGACGTACCATTAAACCTCTCAAACTTCATTAGGCACACTTTGCGGTATCACTTGCAAATCTTCGCGTGGCGACCGAGTGACAGAGCATTTTCTCTCTCTGTTCTGGTTCTAACCAGTCGCTTTTGCTATTGTGGCATTTTGCAGGAAAAAAAAGTCTCACACTCAATCCTTCTTTTTCTCCCTCTTTCACCCCCCCTGCCCCTCTTCTGTCTCCTTTACTCTTTGTTTTTCTTTCCTCCCCCTCTAGCAACAACCAAACTACTGGAGCTTCAAGGTCAGTGCCAATATTGTGTTTGTGTTTCAGCGTAAATCTGTGCCTCTGTGTGGATTCATCTCTTAATAGGATAACTCCATTGTGTCTTTGCATGCCTGCTTCTCCACTGCGTTAGCGCTGGTCGCACGTTGGCACACACTTCTGCATTTAACTCTTTTAACACTCTTGTGCTGCATGCTGCGACATTTCTCCCTCAGAGTGTTCACATAAGAAAGAAGAAATCCCTGCATGAATCAAATAAGTGCTTTGGTTCACTTTAAACTATGCAAGTAAGATTTCTGATATGCAATTATTGAACACAATATGCCTGTTTCATCAAATATGAGGCAAGAAAAGGTCCAGTTCAGCCTGAGAGCTGCTGGCTGGAGCTTAACTTACTGCTGCTGCTCGCTAAAATGTCCCTATAAAAAGGCACTGTACCAAGCTTGTTATTGGCTGTCTCCAGACCTGCAGATCCCTGCCTACAACTCCCATGTTGTCTGTAATTCAAATTAGGCCTGGTGTTGGTCTCCGATGGTAAAACTAAATCAATGAGAGTTTAGCAGGCAGGATGTGCAGTGGGGTTGTCATTAGTGACAGAAATATGGATCAGATTGATTCTGTTCTGCAGGTTGTGCAGATGAATTATTCACCTGTTTGATTGCTGTGATAAATATTTGTTACTTGCATCATAACTGAAGCTAAGATTCCCACAGATTGAGATTTGATGTATGATATGCAAATATGTGCATGCATGTATGGGGCTAGTTTTGCTGTGCACAGCAGTCTTTAGATAGATTACCTCTCTGAGTTTCTTCTGTGCAGGTAATGTAAGTGCCACGGACTTTGTGACAATCAATATTTGAGCAACATAATTAGCTGTTGCTCCATCGAGTTTTATTATCTTGTGAAAGAACTTTATCGCCAACATTTTGGACCTCATCTGTTGAAGGTAGTCTAAT